AATACCAGACACTCAAATTCACCCATCTTAGTATTTAGACTTCTTGCATTTGTATCCAAGCAGTTATAAAACGTGTCAATATTTAGTTGTCTGCCTTCATGTGATGTGACTGAACAGGACTCTTTTTCTTTGACTCTTTCTCTTCAGTTCCTACCTGTACTTTATCAACTTCTGTCTTCTCCTCTTTACTAGAATATAGAGCATCCCCTTTAATAAACTCTCCCCAAGGGATGTGTCTGTCCGAACCGTGTGCTCCTCCGCATCGGTCATGTTCTGACAGAAGTAGCATTTCCCCCTCCGAGAAGGGAAGGGGCAGGACAGCGATCTCCCTGTTACAGAGAGCCTGGGACTCGGTGTCCCATGGGAGCAGAGCCGGCCCAGGGCACTGCCCCTGGAGCTCCGTGTGCCAGTGCCTCTCTTGCATGAGTGAGATCTGGCTGAATGCAAGCTGTAATCTCTCAGGAAGGGCTCGGCAGGGTCGCCATGCTGCCAGCCGAGCTGGGAATTAGCTCCCCTTTCAGCCGCTAAGCCAGGCGGCTCAGCTGCGGGAACAGACAGGTTGAGCTTCCTGAAGCACCCCCAGTTGGGCAGCGCAGAGGGCGATGCGGCCAGAGAACGGGTGCTGCCATTCAGCCTTCTGGGTCCTGTCCTAGAGACTGAGCCTCCAGCGCCTGCACCCAGGGATTCCACCTGCTTCCTCGGGCTTGTCCCACGCTCCTGCCTCCTTGGGAGCTCCTCTGAGGAACCTGGTGCAGCAGCAGCACCGCTCTGTAGCCATGAAGGACAAGCAACAAACGAGAGATTTTGCTGTCAGTGGTGTGTCCCCATTCCGTTCCTAACCCAGCACAGACAGAGGGGATGGGCTATCCCGACTCATCCACCTCCTCCCTCCAGAAGCTTACCTGGGTCTTTAAGAAACAGTTCCGTAAGGCAAGAATGATACCTGGTTACCTGACAGTCTGACACCTGGTTACATACAGACTCCTTCAGCCTGATACCTGGTTACATACAGGCTCCTACAGTCGGATACCTGGTTACATACAGGCTCCTACAGCCTGATACCTGGTTACATACAGGCTCCTTCAGCCTGATACCTGGTTACATACAGGCTCCTACAGCCTGATACCTGGTTACATACAGGCTCCTTCAGCCTGATACCTGGTTACATACAGTGTCCTACAGCCTGATACCTGGTTACAGAGGCCTTGGATGTATTGCATGTAATAGGCAAGGTACTGAAACCCAATGACCAAAAGAGTTAGGGGAAATCACAGGTACAAACCACTCCCCTCTTGAACCCATGCTGAGTTGGGCACTACACCCAAAGCCTTGTCGGGGTGACAGTATACTCCAGAGATGGGAAATCGATTTTTTCCTGGTACACGGCTGCTGATAAGGTGATCCAATGGCTTTAACTGGTAGTGGTTGGTTATTCACTAGTGCAGGATGCACAACCCCTTGTGCAGAAGCCATGCTGGGGCCTGGGATGAGACTGTTTCCACCCTGACGTCATTCCATTTTCACAGTAAAATTCTGTGTTTGAAACCTGGGTGGGACGCTGCAAAACTTGTGGCTCGGAAGGGAGAGTCGGGGAAGGTAGCTCCGGGGATGGGGGCGTGACCTTCCGCCCCAAGGTCACCCGTTCCAGTCCAGGCCTCGGTCAGCAGCCGCCAACATCTAACCAGCATTTGGTGACCCCTGCAATGAGCTGAGCTCAGTCCTCTGCCTCGCGGGCACATACCATCCTGACAAGGCACGTGGCCAGGCTCAGCACAGAGACCGAGGGTTAAATGGACCTGCTGGGGAACTGGGCAAGTCGCTACCCCTCTGTGCCTCTTCTCCACCCCCGACTCTTTGCCTGTCTAGTCTCAGGGCAGCCTCTGACCGTCCGGGAGCAGCGGCCTAGCACAGCGGGGCCCCAACCTCGGCTCAGGTTTCTAGGTGCTATAATAATAAGTAGCAATAACAGACAAAGAAATGGGATCCCCCTCTTGGCCCCAGAGGTGGTCCCTGGTGGTGAGGTCTGAGGCCCAGTGGAAGTGGGCAGGTGGGCTGGGAAGCTTGCAGTGGTGCTGCCTGTGTGGATATAGAAGAGATGTCGAATTCTAGCACAACATACCCCAAGCCCTGATTCAAACAGCTCCATTCTCCAGCAGAGCCCCGTGGAAGGCCCCCTGGGATGAGATGCCCCAGGCCGTAGCTCTGCATTGAAGCCGTCCGTCTGCGTGGCATAGGGCTGGTTAATATAAACCATTGTACGATTTCCACTCAGGGAGTGGAGCTGGGTGTCTCTGCTCGGTGGTCATTGAGCAGTCGCTGTGTTCGGGTTGAAATGATTAAAGGTCTTGAGAACATGACCTATGAAGGAAGGCTGAAAGAATTGGGTTTGTTTAGTTTGGAAAAGAGAAGACTGAGAGGGGACATGATAGCAGTTTTCAGGTATCTAAAAGGGTGTCATAAGGAGGAGGGAGAAAACTTGTTCACCTTAGCCTCTAAGGATAGAACAAGAAGCAATGGGCTTAAACTGCAGCAAGGGAGGTCTAGGTTGGACATTAGGAAAAAGTTCCTAACTGTCAGGGTGGTTAAACACTGGAATAAATTGCCTAGGGAGGTTGTGGAATCTCCATCTCTGGAGATATTTAAGAGTAGGTTAGATAAATGTCTATCAG